CAGAGTTTGATTTGCACGGTCAGATTTTGTGGAGGAGAAGCGAATGTGTACAGCATAGTTTTTGTTGGCAGGGCTCTAGAGTGCGTCACAAATGTGGCCAAATTTTTCAATGGTGTGACTAAAATAAACCTTAGGTCACACCGGTGCGACCAGCTGTTCGAGTAAAAAAAAAAGTCTGCAACTCTTAAAGTCTCCGTGTGGTCAACAACAGACACATGATGCCCACATTATGGTCCAGATATTCCTGTAGTCCTTCGTGTACGTTTGAAAGTGCAGGTGGATAGAGAGAGGTGAGTATCTCGAATTAAGCGATATTGATTCATTAAATCCTGAATCGACTTCTAAATATAAATGTATTTTGCCAGAAACGCGAGAATCTCAGGTTAAAGCTCACAAAACTATTTCAACAACCACCAAACAGTAAAAGAGAGCAGAGAAACTGATTCCACACAAAGATGTAAACACACGTATCACCCCGACGTATCAGAATCAGCTTTCTCTTTCTCGGCCTTCTCACCCGACGGCACGTAGACGGACATACAGTCGGGGCTGAGAGCCGACAGCTCACTGATTGTGATGCGTCGGGTCCGTGATTTGTGTTTACGTCTTTTTTTCTAGATTCTGAGCTGCAGGTTTTGTCTCTGTCCAACCAAAATTCACTGATCCAGCAGCAAAAGAAGATCCAAACTACGCTACAGATTTGATAAACATCGTCATGAATTCCCTCTTACTTTTGCCGTTTTGCTTCCACCACAATAAAAATCGCACTTTATGTATACACAGTACTCTCTCTCTCTGTACTTCAAGAACAGTTTCCCATCTCAAATTTGTTTTCTGCATTATTCAGAATCAGAATACTTTATTGATCCCTGGGGGAAATTATTCACTTATTACCCACCAGTGTACAGCTGTTTACAGCGCTGTCGGCAGCTGTCTATTTTCTGTTTTTTTTACTTTACTTAAACGACCTTGGACAACAAAGCCTAATTTCTGCTGTTCAATACTGAAGAAATTTAAACTTTTTAAAATTATGCAAAGTTGCAGAATATTTTTAAGGTTAT